AATTCATACATAACAGTATTAACCTTAAATGTAAATGGGCTAAATGCCCCAATCAAAAGACACAGACTGGCAAATTGGATAAAAAGTCAAGACCCATCAGTGTGCTGTGTTCAGGAAACCCATTTCATGTGAAAGGACACACATAGGCTCAAAATAAAGGGATGGAAGAAGATTTAGCAAGCAAATTGAGAGCAAAAAAAAGCAGGAGTTGCAATCCTAGTCTCTGATACAGTGTACTTTAAACCAACAAAGATCAAAAGAGACAAAGAAGGTCATTACATAATGGTAAAAGGATCGATACAACAAGAAGAGCTAATGATCCTAAATATATACACACCCAATACAGGAGCACCCAGGTATGTAAAGCAAGTTCTTAATGACTTACAAAGAGACTTAGACTTCTGCACAATAATAATGGGAGACTTTAACACTCCACTGTCAATATTAGACAGATCAACAAGACAGAAAATTAACAGGATATCCAGGACTTGAAATCACATCTAGACCAAGTGGACCTAATAGAGATCTACAAAAATCTCCACCCAAAGGCCAAAGAATATACATTCTTTTCAGAACCACATTGCACTTACTCTAAAATTGACAAAATAATTGGAAGTAAATCACTCCTCAGCAAATACAAAAAAAATGGAAATCATAACAAACAGTCTTTTAGACCACAGTACAATCAAATTAGAACTCAGGATTTAAAAACTAACTCAGAACCACACAACTTCATGGAAACTGACCAACTTACTCCTGAAGGTCAAATGGATAAACAATGAAATGAAGGCAGAAATAAAATTGTTCTTCAAAACCAATGAGAATGAAGACACAACATGCCAGAATCTCTGGGACACATTTAAAGCAGTGTCTAGAGGGAAATTCATAGCAATAAATGCCCACATGAGAAGCAAGGAAAGATCTAAAATCGACACCCTATCATCAAAATTGAAAGAGCTAGAGGAGGAAGATTAAAAAAAACTCAAAACCTAGCAGAAGACAAGAAATAACTAAGATCAGAGCAGAACTGAAGGAGACAGAAACACACACACAAAAAAAAAAAACTTCAAAGAAATCAATAAATCCAGGAGCTGGTTTTTTGAAAAGATCAACGAAACAGACAGGCTCCTAGCCAGATTAATAAAAAAGAAAAGACAGAATAATCAAATAGATGCAAAACAACACTATGCACATAAACCAATAAGCCTGGAAGAAATGGATAAATTCCTGGACACTTGCACCCTCCCAAGACTAAACCAGGAAGACGTTGAAACCCTGAATAGACAAATAACAAGGGCTGAAGTTGAGGCAGCAATTAATAGCCCACCTCCCAAAAAAAGTCCACATCCAGACGGGTTCACAGTTGAATTCTACAAGACATACAATGAGGAGCTGTTACCACTTCTTCTGAAACTATTTGACACAATCCAAAAAGAGGGAAGCCTTTCCAAATCATTTTATGAGACTAACATCAACCTGATACCAAAACCTGGCAGATACTCAACAAAAAAAGAAAATATCCATGATGAACATACATGCAAAAATCTTCAATAAAATACTGGCAAACCGATTACAACAGCACACCAAAAAGCTTATCCATCATAGTCAAGAAGGCTTCATCCTGGGATGCAAGGCTGGTTCAACATATGCAAGTCTATAAAGGTAATCCACCACATAAAGAGAACCAAAGACAAAAACCACATGATTATCTCAATAGTTGCAGAGAAGGCCTTCAACAAAATTCAACAGTGCTTTGTGCTAAAAACTCTCAATAAACTAGGCATTGATGGAATGTATCTCAAAATAATAAAAGCTATTTATGAAAAACCCACAGCCAATAACATACTGAATGGGCAAAAACTGGAAGCATTCCCTTTGAAATCTGGCACTAGGCAAGGATGCCCTCTCTCACCACTCCTATTCAATATAGTATTGGAAGTTCTAGCCAGAGAAATCAGGCAAGAAAACGAAATAAAGGGTATTCAATTAGAAAAGGAGGAAGTCAAAGTGTCTCTATTTGCAGACAACATTATTGTATATTTAGAAAACCCTATCATTTCAACCCAATATCTCCTTAAATTGATAAGCAACATCAGCAAAGTCTCAGGATACAAAATCAACGTGTAGAAATCACAAGCATTCCTATACACCAATAACATACTAACAGAGAGCCAAACCAGAGCAAAACCCCATTCACAATTACTACAAAGAGAATAAAATACCTAGTAATACAACTAAAAAGGATGTAAAGGACCTCTTCGAGGAGAGCTACAAATCACTGCTCAATGAAATAAAAGAGGACACAAACAGATGGAAAAACGTTCCATGCTCATGCTTAGGAAGAATCAATACCGTGAAAATTGCCATACTGCTCAAAGTAATTTATAGATTCAATGCTAACCCCATCAAGCTACCAATGACCTTCTTCACAGAACTGGAGAAAACCACCTTAAGCTTCATATGGAACCAAAAGAGAGCCCACATAGCCAAGACAATCCTAAGTAAAAATAACAAAGCTGGAGTCACCACGCTACCTGACTTCAAACTATACTACAAGGCTACAGTAATCAAAACAGCATGGTACTGGTATCAAAACAGAGACATAAACCAATGGAGCAGAACAGAGGTCGGAAGCAATGCCACACATCTACAACCATCTGATCTCTGACAAACCTGACAAAAACAAGCAATGGGGAAAGGATTCCCTGTTTAATAAATGGTGTTGGGAAAACTGGCTAGCCATGTGCAGAAAGGAGAGACTGGACCCCTTCCTGACACCTTACACTAAAATTAACTCTAGATGGGTTAAAGATTTAAACATAAGATCTAACACCATAAAAATCCTAGAAGAAAACCTAGGCAAAACCATTCAGGACATAGGCATAGGCAAGGACTTCATGACTAAAACACCAAAAGCATTGGCAACAAAAGCCAAAATAGACAAATGGGATCTAATTAAACTCCAGAGCTTCTGCACAGCCAAAGAAACAATCATTAGAGTGAACCGGCAACCAAGAGAATGGGAAAAAAAATTTTGAAATCTACCCATCTGACAACAGGCTGACATCCAGAATCTACAAAGAACTAAAACAGATTTACAAGAAAAAAATAAGCCCGTTCAAAAGTGGGCAAAGGATATGACAGACACTTTTCAAAAGAAGACATACATGAGGTCAACAAACATATAAAAAGATGCTCATCATCACTGGTCATTAGAGAAATTCAAATCAAAACCACACTGAGATCTCATCTCACGCCAGTTAGAATGGGGATCATTAAAAAGTCTGGAGGCAACAGATGCTGGAGAGGATGTGGAGAAATAGGAACACTTTTACACTGTTGGTGGGAGTGTAAATTAGTTCAACCATTGTGGAAGACAGTGTGGCGATTCCTCAAGGACCTATAAATAGAAATTCCATTTGACCCAGCAATCCCATTACTGGGTATATGCCCAAAGGATTATAAATCATTCTATTATAAAGACACATGCACACATATGTTCACTGTGGCACTGTTTACAATAGCAAAGACTTGGAACCAACCCAAATGCCCATCAATGATAGACTGGACAAGGAAAATGTGGCACATATACACCATGGAATACTATGCACCCATAAACAATGAGTTCATGTCCTTTGTAGGGACATGAAGGAATCTGGAAATCATTCTCAGCAAACTGTCACAAGAACAGAAAATCAAACACCATGTGTTCTCACTCACAGGCAGGTGTTGAACAATGGGAACACATGGACACAGAGAGGGGAGCATCACACACTGGGGACTGTTGGGGGAGCTAGGGGAGGAACAGCGTGGGGTGGGGAGATTGGGGAGGGATAACATGGGGAGAAATGCCAGATATAGGTGATGGGGGGAAGAAGGCAGCAAACCACCTTGCCATGTAAGTAACTATGCAACAACCCTGCATGATCTGCACATGCACCCCAGAACTGTTCTGGGGTGCATGTGCAGATCATGCAGGGTTGTTGCATAGTTACTTAAAATAAAAAATAAAAATATATACGAATTTTTTTAAAGTGTGCCTGTATTAGCCTTCAGTAAACAGAACACGAGATAAATACAGTCAGAAGTGAAAAAACAAATGTCCTAATATTACTGCCACCCCACATTATTTTAAAACACCAGGCTATAGTTATATACTGGTGAAAAGCCCTTATCTGTAATGTTGCCTTCAACAGAAAGTATCCTAATATGTTCCATCCATCATCACTTCGGTATAATAATAATTACATTCATATATGGGTTCCTCAGCTCTTCCTTCACCAGGGGATATCACTGGCTGCTTTTTGTGTGTGTACTTTACGTTCTGGGATACATGTGCAGATTGTGCAGGACTGTCGAATAGATACACACATGCCATGGTGGTTTGCTGCCTTCATCCCCCTGTCACCTACATCAGGCGTTTCTTCCAGTGTTATTCCTCCCCAACCTCCCTGCCCCTGGCCATCCCTCCCCTAATCCACCACCCCACAACAGACCACAGTGTGTGATGTTCCCCTCCCTGTGCCCATGTGTTCTCATTGTTCAACACCCACCTATGAGTGAGAACATGTGCTGTCCTATTTTTAATGGCTGGAGAAGGCTTCCTTTTCTTTGAGAATAATGACACTTTGCACCTGATGTGCCTAGCAGATAGGACCACCTTGGTGGCCCTGTCCAGAAAGATGCCCAGGCAGGGATTCCTTTCAGAATGCCTGGCCTGGGAAGGGAGACTCTCAGGACAACATTTTATACAAAAGTATCTCAGAGGCAAAAAGCAGATGAAAATAAGATTAGAAGTGGTCAGAGGCTAGAAATAACGACAGGCTCCAGAAACCTAAAATGCTCTTCCCCACCTAGGTTATAACCACTGCGGGGACAAGGCATCGGTGTCATAGGGACATCCTGAAAACATCACCTTAGTCCAAAGCAGGGGGTGGGTTTGTAGTGGAAAAACAGCACGCCCACCACCTCACTGCTGAATGTCTCTGTCTCTTTAAGTCATCACCATCAGGCACTCCCTGAGCTTCCTGAGCTCTGAGTTCCTAGCAGCTCCGTGACTTCCTCCGTGTGCCAAAAGGAAAGAGCCCTCTGCACTCACAACCACGGTGAAATCAATAATTCAGGACTTCTCAGAGCCAACTTCAGAGCGTGTCACAGGGAAAGGTGAGCCTGAGCCTGGGAGCTGGTTGCGGGTGGGAGCAGTGAGGTACAGGAAGCAGGAAGCATTCAGTGTCTGATGTTGTCGTCGAAATGAAGTGAGGGAGCACCTACCTTCTACTAAATACAAGGTAGGGGAGCAGAACCTAGAAGGCATAACTCCATGCTCCCAGGATTTTAAGGATGTTTCCAGTTTTGTTTTGTTTTGTTTGTTTTGTTTTGTTTTGTTTTGTTTTTTCGAGACAGAGTCTCACTCTGTGGCTCAGTTTGGAGTGCAGTGGTATGATCTCAGTTCACTGCAACCTCTGCTCCCCAGGTTCAAGAGATTCTTATGCCTCAGCCTCCTGAGTAGCTGGAACTACAGGCACACACCAGCACACCCAATTAATTTTTGTATTTTTAGTAGAGACGGGGTTTCACCATATTGGCCAGGCTGGTCTTGAACTCCTGACCTCATGATCCACCTGCCTTGGCCTCCCAAAGTGCTGGGATTACTGGCGTGAGCCACCACACCTGGCTGGATGTTTCAAGTTTTAAATGGAGTAAGTTTGAAAGAAGTAGCAAGAATCTTTGCTACTAAAGATTTGAGACTAAATCCTTTCTCTACTCCCCAAGTAAGTAAGGTAAGTGTTTGCCAGAAATACTGAGGGAAACAAAATACACTGTAGAAGGCAGTAAAACTCCATGAATGCATATTCAGCAAAGGTGAAGGATATTTCAGAGGATGTATAAGCAATTCTAAACTCAGAACAAGTTAGAATGAAAATTCTGTATACGTCTGAGCTGAATCCTCTAATCCACCACTCTCCTGAACACCACCCATAACAGGGTCTGTCAAGAGACATCTAAGGTTATGAACATGATCTTCAAACTCTTGCCTTACACGTGCCCTTAAAGGTCTCCCCAGTCCAAGCTGCCCAGGGCCCTCTTGGCTTCTGAGCTATCAGAATTTCCTCATCTGTACAATGAAGGAGTGGGCTAAGATAACCAATTCCCAAATTCAGATCTACAGATGAGCTGCATTAGAATCACTCAAGGGGAGTGAGGTGCTTTTTAAAAATGCAGATTTGTAAGCCACAATCTGTGAGAAATAATGCTTTTCACTTTAAAGAGTCCCTTAGATAATTTCAAAAGGTAGCAGTTTAGGGAAGCATGAAACTAGATAACTTTGGAGATCCCTCAGAGTTTTGCAATTATGGAATTCTATACATTTTACTTTCTCCATTAAACATATGCCTTTTGTAACTCCAGATTTTGACTTTTAAGAACTTTGAATTAACTTTTGAAACTGCATTCCAAACTCTGTGGGAAGTTCCAATTGGCCTACTTGATTTCTGCAGGTCCCTGAAGCACATTTTCTTTTTGTGATCATTGACAAGTACTTCTTCCTTCAGCCAAATTCTTGTCCTTTGCTCTGAATCTTGTGGTGGCTGCTTTATTTTCTGCTCTTGTGTGAATTATGATTATCTGTTAATTCATACATGAAAAAATAATTAACCACATTAAGGCCCATGGAGTGAACTCTATTGAAGCCTTTAGGGAGGGTTAGGGTAGTTCCTGCAGAGACAGAGACAGCTTTGGAATGAGTATGAGGCAAATCCGTTCTCTGAGCCTTCAGCCAGAGACAGAGCAGAAGATGAATACACAGCCACAAGATTCAGAGCAAAGGACAAGAATTTGGCTGAAGCAAGAAGTACTTGTCAATGATGACAAAAAGAAAGTGTGCCTCAGGGACCTGCAGAAATCAGCTGGGCCATTTGGAACTTCCCACAGAGTTTGTAACGCAGCTTCAAGAGTTAACTCAAAGTTCTTAAGAGTTGAAATCTGAAGTTACAAAAGGCACGTATTTAATGGAAAACGTACAATAAGTAGAATCCTATCATCATAAAACTCTGAGGGATCTCCAAAGTTACCTAGTTCCATGCTTCCCCAAACTGCTACCTTGTGAAATTGTCTAAAGTGAAAAGCATTATTTAAAGTGAAGAGCATTAAACTATTTAAAGTGAAAAGCATTATTTCTTACAGACTGTGGCTTACAAATCTGTAGCCAGCCTCTCTCTCTGCCCTTCCTTCAAGTGTGGTGCCAATGGGAGAGAACACGGGTACCCAAGTGACCAGGGTGCAAGACACAAAGAGGTGGAGTTTGACATGGAGGGTGAGGCACAGATAGGTCGGGAGGAGTAATAGCTCTAGGAGGGGAAGCAGAGTGGGTTGGAAAGGCCCTGGAATCTGCTGTTTGTGAAGCAGCTGACTGAGTGGGGGATTGGCTGGGAATGAGGCTTGAGAGCTAGAGGGAAGGAGAAGCACATTTGTGTTCAAGAGTTTGCGTGATCAGGCAAACTGGATCACAGAGTGTTAGCTGGATAGGGCACAATTACTTTATTTAGAAAAGCCTCAGGTAGAAGGAAAGCAGAGGGTGGACGACAGCATTCGAGCCTCCCCAGCACAGAGTTCCTATTCAGACAAGCAAACAGACCCTTGGCTTTGTAAGAGCAGAGCTAAAAGCTCTTAGGTCAGCTTGTTGGGTGTATTTGTGAACCCAAGAAACGAGATTTTTTTCAAGTGTCTTCTCATTTGTTTGCTAGGCCAGTTCCCACTGAGGCAGTTCCCTAAGTCACTGAGTACATGTTCAGACACTCAAGAGTTTTTTACTAAAGTCTCTTGTAACCCCCAAATTCCCTAGAAAAATCTATTTCTGCAGCTCACGTGTCATTGACATAGCATACCCTCTTCTTTCATTTCGTTTCTGAGCCAGAACAGAAAACATTAAATGGTTCCAAATGTCCTTCTAACTCAAGAACAGGATGGGTGCCCTTATTCTGCTCTTCCATAGCCCAATGTCTTAATCTTAGTATTCAATATCCTAATGTCACTCCTAAAGTAGGACTTGTAACTGATTCTATTTGCATTCTTTCCCCACCTCATCCCAACCCAACTCCCGCAAACACACACACAATACACAACTAGATTCTAAGACCCTTGAAGGCAGAGACAATGTCTTCTCACTGCGGTTTCCCCAGCATCTTGCTCTCCTCCCAAGTTACGTCGTGTATACCTATGTGATAAATAAGTGGACCAATGAGCTGTGTTTGTGACTCTTCCAGGTGAGCATGGGACAACAAGGGAAGATGGGAAGCCATGAGGAACATCTCCATGGTAAGAACGTGTGTCTGGAGGGCACATATGCCCTCTGCGTTTGTGCCTGGATTTGCTACAGGGGTTGGGAATGACTCAAGTCTGAAGACATCTAAGAGATGCTTTTTCTGGGAGAAAATTCCTTTAGTATCTTCTAAAACATAGAGGAGTTGCGACCACTAGGATATCACAGTGAAAGCCCCAGCACCATCTCTGCTCCTGGTCCGCTGTGCAATGTTGGAAAGTCTTTTGACTGCCTCAGTAAGACAACATAATAATTGAGGCTCTAACCTTTTCTACAGGGAGAGGATATAAAAGATGGAGTAAACATGGTTTATCAAAGAATGTGTTGGAGAACAATGTGTAAGAGTTAAAATATTGTTAGGGCTCAAGGGAGAGAAAATGAGGGAGGAGAGAGATGGAAGAAAGACTCAAAGACAGAAGATGGGAACGAAGACTGACTAATAACGACAAAGAGAGCACCTCTCTGACATGGTTCTACTGTTGGATTTTACAGACCATGATCCAAGTCAAGAAGGGGAGAGGAATAGGGATTCACATGCATCGTTTCCTCTCAATGACTGACTTACATGGTGATGTAAGAGCGGAACGATGACAGAGCCCAGTGAAGGTGTTTACTTGGGAGAGAGGTGACATCCTGACTGAACAGGGGAAGGGGGGAGGTGAAATAACTCCCAATTATTTATTTCACACCCCACCTTAAGAGGAATGTCTGCCTACCTTCCATTTTGGAGGGGCGGCACTGCTTGTTCAAATGATAAGGGACTCACTTGGTGAGGATGCCAGCACCGCAGGGCGGCTCGTCACTGTGAGTAGCTCAGTGTATGACAGGCTCTATATGCAACATCCCACTTACTCCTCAAAGGAACCTTTAAGGTAGATTAAACAGTTATTATCCCCATTTTCAATATGAGGAAACTGAGGATTGCAGAGGTTAAGACCAGAAATAATTATTGAGAAGAGCTACAAATGAAAAGGAGTGACTTTTGCCATACTCTGCAAAAGAGCTGACTTGGAAACATTGTGTGGTACTAGGATGGGTAATGAAGTCATGGTACATGGTCTATGACACAAATGAACTCGCTTTGAAATCTACCAAGAGAAGTGATACAAGAAGATGTTGGAAGGGTAGATTTGGAGAGCACCTCAGGGATAATCAAAATCCACCCCTTTCATTTAAAAGTTGACAAAAGTGAAATTCAGAGATTTTCTAGTCCATGGACTTCAGACAGGGCAGAGGCCACCATTCAGGTGTACCTTCCAGGTGTGGGCAGTGGCACCCTGCAGGTGCCTCTCTCCTAATCAGAATCAGAATCTGAAGTCAATGACTTTTGAATGGAACTAAAACAATTCAAGGGCACTGGCTTTGTAATTTCCTCACCCCTGTTAATATAATGGCAAAGGCTGAGAGCTGAAGCTGGTATGGCCCAGCTGATTTGGAATAAAGCGTTAGGCTTTGATCTCTGGGGTGGGATGGTAGATTCCATTCTGCCTGCCACTGGCCTAGATAACTTTAGACTTTGAAGTCCCCAGAACCCCTGAAGAAAGCAATGCCAGTCCTCAAATGCCCAGATCTAGATGGGCAGTGACGGTGATTTCAAAAGAAGTTGATCTTAGAGAAGTGAAAACCAACATATTGCCTCACCCTCTTAGGCTCTGTATACAAGGCTGACCTAAAAACAGTTGACTTCTATCAGCTCAACTTCCCAGCGGTTGGCTCAGAATTACAGACGGGGGCTTAGAAATGGCACCAAATCTGAATTTGAGTCAGGAGCCCCCCAGATAATATTCCTTATCTACTATCCAAGCTGACGTGGTGGTCTGTTATTCCCAGACCCTCAAAGCAATGACTTAGATTTGCCGAGGGTGTTCCACAGCCACTCTGCTCAGAATGTATGTGGATTAGTTCATGTAACCCTCTCAAGAACCCTCTGAGGAACCATGGATATTATGATTCCCATTTTACACAAAAGGAAATGAAGGCTCAGGGAGATTAAATAGCTTCCCACAGCTACCCAGTTCGCCAGTGCAGAGGTGGTGGTTCAAACCCAGGGTCTGACACTGGATCCTGCTCAGATCCTACTCCCCCTTCCAAAGGGTGGTTTCTGGATGACTTGTTAGAGAGCCCAGCACAGTTGTCCCCGAGCGAAAGTCAATGGGAAGGCAGGGGAATTAATCCCTGTGCAGCCGGCATGTGTGCAGATGACCAGAGAGGGTTACTGTCGGATGAGGTAATGGCCTGAAACTATAAAGGGGTCCCCTAGAGAAATGTTCCCCAGGCTCTGGGACATCAGCAGGGTCATGCAGGGAAGCCAAAGGGGACAGGAATGGATGAGTAAGGACCACCCAGGACTTCAAATTTCTCATCAGATCACCTCAGTGAAGCATTGCTTTAAAAAGCAAAAGTCTAACCCACTCTTCTCTTTGGCTCAAAAGACATCCAGGAGATCCATTTACCTAGGTATGCTGGTTTAGGTTTGGAACTTACAAATAATTCATTCTCGCAGGTTCAGCAGAGAACACCCAGTCCCAGCAGGAGCCCACACTGAGGCTCATCCTTGTTGGGAGAACAGGGGCCGGGAAGAGTGCCACCGGGAACAGCATACTGGGCCAGAGACGGTTCCTATCCAGGCTGGGGGCCACATCTGTGACCAGGGCTTGCACCACTGCCAGCCGCAGGTGGGACAAGTGGCACGTGGAAGTCGTGGACACTCCAGACATTTTTAGCTCCGAGGTGCCCAGGACAGATCCCCGCTGTGAGGAGAGAGGTCACTGCTACCTGCTCTCGGCTCCCGGGCCCCACGCGCTGCTCCTGGTGACCCAGCTGGGCCGGTTCACAGCCCAGGACCAGCAGGCGGTGAAGCAGGTGAGGGACATGTTCGGGGAGGGCGTCCTGAAGTGGATGGTCATCGTCTTCACCAGGAAGGAGGACCTGGCCGGGGGCTCCCTGCACGATTACGTGCGCGGCTCAGAGAATCGGGCCCTGCGCGAGCTCGTGGCCCAGTGCGGGGGCCGGGTCTGTGCCTTTGACAACCGGGCGACCGGCCCGGAGCAGGAGGCCCAGGCGGAGCAGCTGCTGGGGCTGGTGGAGGGCCTGGTGTGGGAGCACGAGGGCGCCCACTACTCCAACGAGGTGTACCAGCTGGTGCAGCAGCTGCGCTGGGCGGACCCCGGGGAGAGGCTCCGGAGGGTGGCGGAGCGCGTGGCCAACCGCATGCGGAGGAGGCGGTGGAGCGCCGGGCTGCGGGCCTGGCTGGGGGCATGGCCGAAGCCGCCCTGGAGCTGGAGCCTGGGCCTGGCCCTGCTGCTGGGAGGCGCGCTCCTGCGCCGGGTGCTGCTCCCCAGGCGCCAGTTGGAGGTCTTTGCGGAGGTCAAATCTGACTGACAGATTGTAAATGTGGCTCTGATCCCTCAGCTGATAATCGCATTCATCCTCCTCGCTTGGTGTTCAGAGCCCACAGACTCTCCTTTCCTCCCTCGCCTCGGCATAATCCACCACCTCCACCACCGTAAGAGTTCTGCCGGGACCCATCTCCCACCAAAACCCCCTCAACCACCCGGCCCTCTCTGAGCATTCTCCCCACTGAAGCCAAAGGCCACTGATGCTTTGCCTCTTCTCCAGTGGGCTCAGCTGCGTTTCCCTGCACTGAGATGTCCTCTCTCTGGAGAGCAGATGAGGGGTGCTTGTCCCCCATTCCCGGTCGTCCTGCAGGACCACAGGCAAGAACCATCCCAATGCAGAGCCTCAGTCCTGTGCACCCTTGTTTATTCGAATGGAATTTATTTCCATAAATAAATGTACTGCATGATCACGTTGTGTGAAAGGCAATCAATCTTTGTGGATCTTTGTTCATCTGCCTTACATGCCCCTGAACAAAGACATGACTGTTACTGTACACTACTGTAGACTTTGTAAACACTGTACACAGGGTAGGATGTTACTGTACACTACTGTAGACTTTGTAAACACTGCACACAGGGTAGGATGTTACTGTACACTACTGTAGACTTTGTAAACACTGCACACAGGGTAGGATGTTACTGTACACTACTGTAGACTTTGTAAACACTGCACACAGGGTAGGATGTTACTGTACACTACTGTAGACTTTGTAAACACTGTACACAGGGTAGGATGTTACTGTACACTACTGTAGACTTTGTAAACACTGCACACAGGCTAGGATGTTACTGTACACTACTGTAGACTTTGTAAACACTGCACACAGGCTAGGATGTTACTGTACACTACTGTAGACTTTGTAAACACTGTACACAGGGTAGGATGTTACTGTACACTACTGTAGACTTTGTAAACACTGCACACAGGCTAGGATGTTACTGTACACTACTGTAGACTTTGTAAACACTGTACACAGGGTAGGATGTTACTGTACACTACTGTAGACTTTGTAAACACTGCACACAGGGTAGGATGTTACTGTACACTACTGTAGACTTTGTAAACACTGTACCCAGGCTAGGATGTTACTGTACACTACTGTAGACTTTGTAAACACTGTACACAGGGTAGGATGTTACTGTACACTACTGTAGACTTTGTAAACACTGCACACAGGGTAGGATGTTACTGTACACTACTGTAGACTTTGTAAACACTGCACCCAGGCTAGGATGTTACTGTACACTACTGTAGACTTTGTAAACACTGTACACAGGGTAGGATGTTACTGTACACTACTGTAGACTTTGTAAACACTGCACACAGGGTAGGATGTTACTGTACACTACTGTAGACTTTGTAAACACTGTACCCAGGCTAGGATGTTACTGTACACTACTGTAGACTTTGTAAACACTGTACACAGGGTAGGATGTTACTGTACACTACTGTAGACTTTGTAAACACTGTACCCAGGCTAGGATGTTACTGTGAACTACTGTAGACTTTGTAAACACTGTACACAGGCTAGGATGTTACTGTACACTACTGTAGACTTTGTAAACACTGCACACAGGGTAGGATGTTACTGTACACTACTGTAGACTTTGTAAACACTGTACCCAGGCTAGGATGTTACTGTACACTACTGTAGACTTTGTAAACACTGTACCCAGGCTAGGATGTTACTGTACACTACTGTAGACTTTGTAAACACTGCACACAGGGTAGGATGTTACTGTACACTACTGTAGACTTTGTAAACACTGCACATAGGCTATACTAAATTTATTTTTAAAATAAAGTAATTGCATTTTGATGTAATGACAGCTAAGATGTTGCTAGGCAATAGGACTTTTTCAGCTCCAGTATAATCTTAGAAGACCACCATAATATATGTGATACATCAGTGATTGACCAAAACGTCATATCGTGCATCAGTGACTGCAACATTGTAAGCTATAGTCACATTGCTTTACATTAGATCTCCAGAATTTACTCAGGTTGCATAACTAACATCTTTCACTCTTTGACCAGTAACACCATATTTTTCCTTCCCTTCAGCCCCAGTCAACTACCATTCTATGAGTCTGACTATTTTAGATGTCACAAACAAGTGAGACCATGCACTATTTGTCTCTCTGTGTTCAACTTATTTCATTTAGCATAATGATTGGATTTCATAAACAGAAAATCTTTGCCTATCAGAGAATGCCACTAAGAAAGTGAAAAGACAGCCGTCAGAATAAAATGAAATAAATAATATAGCTGATAAAGACCAAGTGTCAGAATACATAAATAATTCTTACAACACTAAAAAGACAAATATGCCAATTTAAAAATGGACAAAATATTTGAATAGACATTTCTCCAAGGAAGATACAAAAATGACCAATAAACATATGAAAAGATGCTCATTATTATTGGTCACCAAGCAATGCAAATCAACAACCAAAATAAAATGTCACATCAGATCCACTGGGATGGTTATACATTTTTTAATGAAAACAATAAGAAATGTTGATGAGGCTGTGGGGAAATTAAACCCTCATACATTTCTGGTGGGCAAGTAAAATGGTAACACTGCTATGAAAATAACTTGGCATTTCTTTAAAAAAGTTAGACATAGATTTACCATATGACTCAGTAGTTCCATTCTTCATATGTGCCTGAGAGAAGTGAAGGCGTGTGCTCATACAGAAAGTTCTACACGGATACTCACAGCAGCATTATCCATAATAACCCCAAAGTGAAAACGACACAAATGCCTATCAACTAATGAATGGATAAACAAATACGGTATATTCATACAACGGAATATTATCTACTCATCAAAAGCAGTGAAGTATAAATACATGCTACAACATGAACAACATGAATGAACTTTGAAAGTTATTACACTAAGAAAAAGAAGCCAGACACAAAAGACCATGTAAATACATTATTCTATCTACAAGAAACATCCAGAACTGGGGTGGGCTCATGAGAGTGTCCTTAAGAGGATTTTAACTTTAGTTTCTAGCACTCTGTTGACATTTATATTCTGGTTCACTTTTTAAGTTTTTCTCTACTTTTATGGTTGAACTATGTTTCCGGCAGAAAAGATATACTGAAACTCCCATGCCTATGAATGTGACTTTTTGGAAACAGGGTCTTTGTAAATTTAATAAATTTAATCAAGTTCATATTTAGTTGAGTTAAGGTTAAAGTCATTAGAGTTAGGCTTAATTCAATTTAATTGCTATCTTTATAACAAGAGGGACATTTGGACAGGGACACGTGCAGAGGGAAGACAGCCATGTGAAGTCGAGGCAGAGATTTCGCGTTTTACTGCCACAAGCCAAGGAACACCTGGGACTACCAGAAACTGAAAGAGGTAAGCAAGGTTTTCCTCTGGGGCTTCAGAGGGAGCATGCCTTTAACAACACCTTAATTTCAGACTTTGGACCTCCTGAATGGTGAGAGTCCATTTTTAGAAGTATAAACCACCGAGTTTGTGATACTCTGTTATGGCAGCCCTAGGAAACTGGTACATCCTCCATGTTGAGATTCTCTAGTTAATCCTGGTCAACACTAATAATTATATGTTGATGCCATTCAGGGGATGAAAGGGAAGGTGGTACATAAGTGTGGGTAGGCAGGGCAGTGAGGGAGTACAGGCTCCTCCCAGCCACTCTCCTCTGAGAAAGGCATGGTGGTGGCGGCAGCGACCAAGGGAGCACATTTGTCCTAAAGGACCAGGTGCTGACCAAACCAAAGCCAAGGCCTGCTATGGAACTAAGGGACATTCAACACTTCTACACTGCTGGTGGGAGTGTAAACTAGTTCAACCATTGTGGAAGACAGTGTGGCGATTCCTCAAGGACCTAGAAATAGAAATACCATTTGACCCAGCAGTCCCATTACTGGGTCTATATCCAAAGGACTATAAATCATTCTACTATAAGGACACATGCACACGAATGTTCATTGCAGCACTGTTTACAATAGCAAAGACCTGGAACCAACCCAAATGCCCATCGATGATAAACTGGACTGGGAAAATGTGGCACATATACACCATGGAATATAATGCAGCCATCAAAAATGATGAGTTCGTGTCATTTGTAGGGACATGGATGAATCTGGAGAACATCATTCTCAGCAAACTGACACAAGAACAGAAAATGAAATACCGCATATTCTCACTCATAGGTGGGTGAGGAAAAATGAGAACACATGGACACAGGGAAGAGGGTACTACACACTGGGGTCTACTGGGGGGAATAGGGGAGGGACAGTGGCCGGGGGGAACTGGGGAGGGATAGCATGGGGAGAAATGTCAGATGTGGGTGAAGGGGAGGAAGGCAGCAAAACACACTGCCATGTGTGTACCTATGCAACTATCTTGCACGTTCTGCACATGTACCCCCAAACCTAAAATGCAATTAAAAAAAAAAGAACTAAGGGACATTCAAGCACAAAGTGATTCTGGAGGATATCGACAAGGAAAAATTTAAAAGTCCTATGAGACTTATACTCCTGATGCCTAAATATATTGGAATGGGGAGAAGGTGCCTAAAATCTGTAGAGAGGGAACAGAGGTGGCACACCTCTGAGAGGTATATCAAGCTCTGCTTTCATCATAGTGTGTAGGGTTATATCCAGATTTCTCACCAGAAACCACGTTGGCCAGAAGTAAGTGACACAACATTTTTCAAGTGTTGAGAGAAAAGGGTTGTCAACCCAAAATCTTATAGCCAGAGAAAACATTTTTCAGGAATAAAAGAGGAATCAAGATATTATCGGATTAAAAGAAATTAGGAGAATTTGTTACCAGCAGACCTCTCTGAAAGACTAAGAGAAGTCCTAGAAACAAAAAGGAAACATGTAAGAAGGAACTTGGAACACCAGCATGGAAGACAGGACTCAGTAAGCAAAAATATGAAGAAATATAACATGTTATTCTTTTGAGTTTTCTAATACGATTGATGGTTGAATAAAATATTACAACATTGTCCATTGTGGTTCTAAGTTTATGTAGAAAACATTTATAACAATGTATATTGTAAATAGGGGAAGTTAAAGGGATGTAAAGAAAAGTAAAGCTTATATGCTTCACACAATCTGGAAAAATGATAGCATCAGTGAACTGTGATAAGTTATGTGTACATATTTTAACACCTAGACAATCACTTAAAAAGTTGTACAGAAAAATACATTTAAAAACATTATGTATGGGGTAAGCATATGTAATTATTACTTGTCAATTAAAAATAATTTTTCAGTGTGGGTATGGTGGCTTATGTTTTTAATCCCAGCACTTTGGGAGGCTGAGGTGGACAGATTGCTTGAGACCAGAAATTTGAGACCAGCCTGGGCAGCATGGTAAACCCGTCTCTACAAAAAATATAAATTAGCTGAGCATGG